GGGGTACCGGGGCGCACCCCCGGCGGCTCGGGGGTTTTCTTCTTTCCGTGAAACCAAGACGACCTCCATTTCTCCTTTTCTACACCTGCAGGGCTACGCAGAGAGAAAACACGTTTTTCCTTCATGTTCAGCGTTAGCTAACCCCGTGCAGATGGAGCTAGAGCCGGCTAGGTGATGTGTAAAGCTTTAGCAGTCACGTAAGCTACTTTCACCAAAGCAGATTTTTCAGATTTGTTGGAAAAAGTTTGTACTAGACTTCCCTTATCAACAAAGGCCCACGGACCTGTTTTCGCATCAGCTAAAATACTTACTAGCACTGTTCAGGGTAGTTAGGCCACCACAGAAGCAGGATACAGTCTAAGGAAGGGGCTTTGGTTATAATAGGATCAATTCCTTCACTGTAAAGATACTAAACCACTTCCAGCTGATGTTTCATAATCAATACTAAAATAATTATTTTGAAAGAAACTGCACAGAAAGTACAATGAGAACCACCACTGAAGTGAGCCTCCACAGTCCCTGCAACATTTGCAAATCCTTTTTTGAGTCACGCTCCTCAGCATTCAAAGGTTTTGTTTCTCCCTATTAATAAAAATAAAAATCTCAATTTAAGAATGAAGTCAATACATGCATAGCTGTAAGCAACACTTCTCACATCTTTAAGAAGTTGAGCAATCGAGTCATTTGAAAAAAAGCAAGAATCAGGTTAGCAATACTAGTCATGAACCACAGAAAGTGTAGTTAAGCAGATGAGGTCTTCATTTCACATGCATGTTCTCCCTATGCACTGCTCTTGAATGCAGTCCTACAGGCACAGGTGTTTCACATTAAGTCAGTCTTTCCACCAAAGACAAACCTTCTTTCAACAAGAGAACGAGAACAAAAGCCTCCTGCACACACAAAACCGAAACCACACACCCTGATACTTGCATGAACTGCTCTTACGACCTATACAATTTAATAATGAAACAGAGAGACAGGAGAACAGGCAATTATACAAAAGAATTTATTCCAAAAGTTGTAATTAAAAAAACATTTCAATTTTAAAAAAATGCATGTTATAAACATTTAGTAAGATAATACATTCATTTAAAGTCTCAGGTTAATGGGCTCCCCTGCAGGAGCGAACCCTGCACAGGCAGGCTTCCTGCAGGCTGTGTGGCACACTGTGCAGGCAGCACACCTCCTGTGTTTGGATTTAGATCTGCAAGGCTGTCTTCACCCTGAGCTGATGCTCTTTTCCAGTCAAGGCCAAGCTTGCTTACTCCCCTCCATTTACGAGGATCCAAGAAGGGACCCAAACCTAAGCACAGCTCTTTGAATGGTTACAGTGACATTTGGGATGTCTAAAAACTGATTTGTCTAAGTATGTGCAACTACAGGCAAAGTTAATGGAAGAGAGAGATTTAAGCCTACCCGTAATTTCACGTTAGAGAGTAAAAGTTTGCTTGCGTATTTAGGCACTTAACTTCCAGAGCACCTCTTCAACCAACCAATTTTGCTTGAAAAGCATTTTCACTGTCCTGACAGTCTGACTTTAGATGTATACAAGAAAACAAAGGATTTTTATAAACACTTAACAGAAGCCCACATATTTATCGAATGTAAGCTACTCCTATATGAAGTTTGGAGCGTACCCAAACATTGCAGTTTATTTTAACCTATCTCCAAAACCAGAGTAAACATGAAAAAAAATTAAGAGACTACACTGAGTTCCTGCAGATGGCCTGTCTCCACAAGAGGAGAACACAGTTTTGGAATATTACCTGCTTTTGAATTTGAATGGAATTACACGGCTATAGGACTGTTATAAGAAGCAAAATAATTTAAAGCCTTAAATACAAACCTACCCTTTGATATACTGAAAACACTCCATCACTTTAAAGTGTAGTACTGCAGAACACAACTGTACATGTTTCCAAGAGTTTGTCTTTGCCTAGTAATTTTAAAGTGATTATAGGCCAACTTCATAAAAAGTAGATTACAACTCAAGAGTGTGAAAGGAATACAGCATGTTACATTGTGTCAAGAAATGAGAACCTTCCCATGTTGAAATAGTTCGAAATGCATTTGACTCTAAACAATTTGAAATGTAAACCTGTCTATCTGATTTGAAGAGTAGGTATCTGAAGTGCAACGTTTCCAAGAGTCCTTCAGGTATGGATATTTTCTTGCTACAGGACTCCTCTACTTACCTACTGAGACAAAACATCCAAGCTTTCCTCCTTAATAGCATTATACAATAACATTTTCTTACAGCCCACATGATGCTGTTACAGCAGTTTACATTCCTTTTCCAGTACTAATGAGAATTTATATTTAAAGTGCATCTCAAATCAGAAAGATCTAACTAATATGCAAGATTAATATGCTAAGGCTTGTGAAAGTATATTTGCTAAATCACTGCGATATCGAGTGCCTTTTTATTTACTAGTAGGACAGAGAACAAAGTTCAGACTATTAAGAGACTTCTTGCAAATAAGGATGGCTACAGACTTGGCCAGATTTTTTTTTCTTTTTTTTTTTTTGCAAATGGAGCTGCACACACATACACAGAGGGCAGAATTTATCCTACAGAGAAACATTTGACTTGGTAAATGAGTATAAGCTTTTTAGTAAGTAAGCTTAAGCTTTTAGTTCAGAAAGTTATTTTTCAATACTCAATACTTTTCATAAACATCTTTCCCAATTCACCCTTCAGAGAAACTTTAAGAAAAGCAGATTTGTTAGTTTCTGTAGGAAAAAAACCCCAAAACATTAGTTCTATAACTGCAGCTTAAATATCTGCAACTAAATGTGAAATCTTAAATACATTGGTTTAAAAACCAAACCTTTGCTGGCACAATGGCATGATCTTTCGAAAAAAGCTCCCTAAAGAACATAAAATCAAGCAGCTCCAAAGTCACCCAATTACAAAAAAAAAACCCCACCTCCTTAAAAACAGTAAATAGCACAGATTGTTTCCTCTGATTCTGCTAGTTAACAGCTTGAAAACTTTTTTAACCTTTATAAGACACCATACAGAGTTTCAGTACCATTTGTATGAAAAGACAAAAGTCACTACATGGACTGCGGTTGAAGAGAACGCGATCTTAAAGGCAAAAAGCAATTGTCACTTGAACTAGTAGATGGTTCTTGCTGCTCTGCCTGGAGCTCTGGGGGGAGAGGGGGTGCACCAGGGTCTCCAGGCCCCGGAAGGGTGGCTGAGAAAACAGCACTCTCTGCATTTCCCATCTCTGCAATTGGTAAATTCATTGAATGAAGAGAGACGGCAGACACAAATGCGGCGGTGCTATAATCTTCTTCTGGATGATGTATCTGGGTAGATTCTTTGTCTTTTGTTTTATCAAAAAAATTAGATTCATCAGAATATGATCTAGAGAGATTATTCGTTCCTCCATACAGTGAGGTCATACAGGTGCTGCAGCTTAGACCTAAGGCAAAAAACAGACTGGATTTAATTACAATATGGTGCACTCTTAAAATTGTTCTCTGATTTAATATCAATAAGACGGCCAAAAATCAATTGTCTGTATTTTGAACAGACTAACCTCTTCATCTGACCTGTGACATGCCAATATTTATGACAAATTAAAAAATACACGCAGGTTATCTAGGTGGACGCAAAAGATTTCTCTACATCTACTATTTGACAAAGATGCACTGTAACTTAAGCTTCATTTTAGGAAGTAAGTTTAGCCCTTTGGCCTATATTTTGATAGGTTTTTCTCACTGCGTTCTTCAAACTTTTAAAAGCTTCAGCTACGTGGTTCTACTCCACAGTGGACTGCTGTTTTACCTGAAACCAGAGAAAACTTCAGGCCTTTCATCTCTAGGGTTAAGATGGACTTGTTCCTTCTTTATTTCTCTTTCGAAAGGTATGGAAGGGGAAGTAAGGTTTTTGGTTTAGAAGTTTCTTTCTTACACTTTCTTTATCTGCCTTAAAATATGAGTACATACAGTCACTTAAAGCTTTGCGTGTCAACAGAACCTCTCTGCCTGTATGAAACAACACGTGTATACATTTACAGTGTCTCATTTTAAACTTTGGCATTGAAGGCATACAGGAGAATTCCCCTCAGATTGCATTTGCTGGCTTATCTTCAGCTGAGGTGCAAAGTTTAGCAAAACCAGAGCATCCTGCCACTGCAGTAAATAGCTTCAAGAGAAATGCAAGATGGAAGATAACCACCTGTTTTGAGTTCTGAATTAGAACCTCATAGAAAGCAAAACTGAAATGTGAAGACAGACTTATCCATCATAACAACACATGATAAGTGTTTTTTGCAATTAGTTATTTTTGATGTATTCAGATAATAAAAAGGCAAATCCAGGATACATGCGCTAGGATCTTAAACCCAAACTGGTGATATTTCCAAGAATGTTGTCCCAAACACTAGAGGAAGCAAAAAAAGAAATCTGTACTAAGAAGCATGACTTAAAGAACTGCTGGAGTTCAATTTTGCAGACCCTCAAAAGAAAACTTATGTCTTACAAGATACTGTTATAAATTTCTCACCTTTGAGAGCTTCAAGTTTTTCATTTTTGACTTTCAACACTACGTCAGTTATCTTTTCTAACAGGAAGTTTTGTGTTCTTTCTCGTCTGATAGATTCAATCAAAGCATCTAGTCCCTTTGGGTTTTCTGCTAAGTAGTCCAATAACTTCCCAGTTTTTTTCCTACTGGAAGATCGAGAAGAAATTTCTTCTGTGTCCTCTCTAGTGAGTATTTTCTTTGAACGTAGGTAATCAAAGTGTCTCTCAGCTATGATTTTATCACACAGGTAAGGACGCATCCTTTCTAAAGCCTGAAAAAAAAAAAACAACTAGTATTAGCCAATCTTTCAATGTATTTAGAAGCCTGTGTTTGAAACCTATCTTATTCTGATACAGGTTAATGAAACAATTTTTGAATCTGCCACTGTGGTACTCAGCAGACATTTTTATCACTGTAAATTTTTTTCTTTTTAAAATGTTATCTAATTTACTTACCCCTTCCATTAGTTTCCTTCTGAGTGAACTTAGGAATTTCAATGCATGTTAAGTAATAAGGTGAATACTTACTGAAAATGTTAGTTACATCAAGTCTGTGGTTATCACATCTCAGAACATTCAACAAATAAAAATTAAAAGAAATTATACCAGCAAAACATAACAGTACCTACTCACTTTGTCTACAGACACACTCATTCTCACTACCTGATTGCCACATCTCTGTACTATTTGTATCCATGATGCACATCTCCAATATACTGCAGTTATTGATGCTTTCTGTACATTGAGCAAAAGCAGTCTCAGAGCAACAGCATGAATATATATCTGTTTGAAAGGTTTGTTAAATAAACACCACTATTTACAAGTTCAACAGATTATTGGCATCTGAAATACATGCACTTTCATCCACAGGTGTACCTACTCTCAAAAACTCTACTGGCTGCTTTTTGTCTTCATCAAGCTGCCTTCTTTTGGTTTAAGATTTTATATTAAACACCTGAAGTAACTTGCACACCTCTAACTTGCTGCACAGACTACTGAGAGTTAAAGCAACCCTGATGACTCTGGCAAAAGCACAATGACTCTACCCTCTGCAACATAACTTCAGCTTACAAGTGTAAACTGGTTGCTTAAGTCCTCTCCACAACCAGCAAAAAGAGGTGGAACAATCTGCCCATAGGAGGGGGCTGCATCCATTGTCTAAAGACCCTAACAGGCAGTCAATTAACACAAGGTATGAGGAAGCAGAGGTCAGTCTTGAGCATCTTTGCATCTTCAGGAACTGTTAACACCTAGTATCAGATCTCGTTCCCTCAGAGATCCTCCTGGGGAAACATGCTACCTTTCGTAACCATATTAAATTCTAACCTGACTACCAATTTGTTTCCAAAGTAATTTTACAGCAGCAATGTCAGAACTAAACACTGCCATGTCTCCACTTTGTTTTTCCTCCTTGGAAGATCAAGTGTCCTCTCCTATACAGATCAATGTATTTTTACAGTTATCAAAACAAAACCCAATCTTCCTCCACCTTGTTCAGAGGGTACATAAAAGCACAAACACGGCCAAAATGTAAATTACATTCATCTTATTTCAATCTGTATGTTAACAAGCCTGCTTGATATCAACATCGAAACAGAATTAATGCATGTGTTCACAACTCTCTGGTTTCAATATCTACTACACTATGAAGATGAGAGTCACAACTGACATCCCTGTGCTTGAAAAACAAGCTCTCATTTTATATAGTACTACAAAATCGGCAGTTTGTCCCACCAACACTTTTCACTGTGCAGAACTACACAAGAAGCCAGATACCTACTAGGTGAATATTACTGACTACTCATTTGATTAAAAAAAAACAAAACAAAACAAACAACATTTGAGAGAGAGAGGAAAAACACCTTTACATACAAGACATATGAAGAGATGGTAAGAAACAAAACTTCTTTCCTAAAGAAAGTTTTCAAATATCCTCCTGCATTTTGAGATTAGATTCCATAACAGCAGCATTTAAAAATTAAAATATGAAAATGACTGTTTGCCTTATAGCCATTTACTATCTCAGTGACTAGAAGCAGAAGAAAAACTAGCTATAAAGACGCACTTTGAGACAAACAATTCCAAACAGCAAAATACTGTCTGGCATACCAGTGCTAGGGAAAGCACCAATACCTCTTAAAGAAAAACCTTCCTAGACTGCTCCACTAAGTATAGCAGAGGATAAATGTGTTCTTCTAGTTGCTCTTTAGGATTCAACTAAGCTATCAATAAACAGCCTGTGGTTACACAGTTGTTAAAGAAAACATTAGATGAGCACGCATGGAAGAAAAAGGAAGGCTTCTGGCAGTAGACTATCATCCCTAGACTGAATACAACACAAAACCAAGATGTAAGGGTGCAGCTCCACGGCAGACAACTTAAGTGCAAGGAACACTCTCCCCTGCATGGCAGCTGCGTGCTCCTACCCTTTCCCTCGTACTGGTGGATAAGAAGATCCAGTCAAGAAACTGAATTGGTGCTTCTGTTTTCCCCTCTGACACCCACATTAATTACGTGATTCAGTTAAATGTGCAGACACATCGGCACTAGGTGTAGCATAACAACTATGATAAGAGCAGAGAAGTGCAACAGTACAGCTCTGGAATACATCTCAAGTGTCCAATTGCAACAAGCCTATGCCTGAATGCTTACAATGTGGCAGGCAATACAGAGTTCTTCAGTTCTCATGGAAATCTCATCCTGGCGACAGAAGGATCAATCAACAAACTCTAAACCGTAAGCCAGTCAACATTTCAACATTAAAAGAATAGAACGAGTTCTTACTGAACTATTGTGTTTTGACTAACATCTTCCTGTTATGAGTCTTTCACTGAATGAAGTGTATGAATTCTGAATTCCCCTCCACACTGCCCTCATAGATTAACAGTTTGAGGGACAACAAGAGTAAACACATTAGAACAGAAGCTTTAAATACATTTTGGTCTATATTGATTATTGTATGGCTCACTGACTCCTTCCCAGCTCTTGAATGTAAGACTTCAAACTTTAAAATTCCTCTTCAAGACAAGTTTACCCAGACCTTGTTATCCTTGTGAGTTAGCTTTCTGAGGTATGCTGCCACATAGTACACACAGAACTTCTGGCAATGCAGCACTTCTGTTTGAAGCGATCCTACCAAAGTTTATTGAACAGCTCTGAAACTGCTGAGTGAGCTTCCACTGAACCAGCACTTTGTATCATGAAGCCACAACATTTAAAATCTGAGAGAATAAGCTCTAGGGTAAGATTTATTGCATTGTATTTTGATGATAAAACTAATGTTATTTCTTTCTACATATTACATTTCCACCAGGTCTTCCAATTACTATGGGAGACCCTATCAGATTAAGGGCTTAAGTGCCATAGATGCACTTCTGCGAGATGCAGCTGTGAATTCAGTCACTGACACAAATTAACATCCACATCATGTCATACATATAGCCTGATTTAAGTAGTTATTATCTCCTTTTTTGGTGTAACTACCGGATGATAACTATTACAGTGTTACTGTGTGGTTCCACAGAAGCATGTAATAACTTGAAAAACATGCCTCACAAAGCTAAGACAAAGCATGTAAAGAAAATTATGTATGCATAAAGGTACTGAGAAACCAAAGCCAAGCTCCAAACATACTTTATTGTACTTTAAAGGAACATTAAAAAAAAAAAATAAATCAACCCTAAGACAGCGTAAATTGCAAATGGAAGCACAGATGGTTAATAAATAATCAACAAACTGTGATTTTTTAAAAATTAACCTATCACTTGTTGAGGTTGGTCAGCACATTACTTGCTTCCCAGTCTAGTAAAAAAAAATCAATATTTAGTCCAAGTATCCATGCTCTATAAGAGAGAATCTTACTAACAGCACGAGAAGCACCCACAGGTGCAGCTAACCCTCGGGTACCACACCAGTCACTCATCGCTCCACTGCCTCCCGGGCCTCACCGCGGCACGCAGACACCAACACCAAACCCCTGCTGCTGCGGCCGTAACACGCGACACCGCTTGGAGGGAGCCAGAAGAAAACTGACCTCTGAGGTGAACACCTGGCCCCGGGGTTCAGTTTCCGCGAGTCGCACCCCGGCCGTACACTGGGAAGCCCCCAGGGAGCCG